GAAATATACAAGTATTAATTTTACTTATTTTCCTGAAAAGGAGAATTACAGTTATCATCACAAAGCATCAGATCTGAATCAAAACTCTGTGGTGAAAGAATGATTAGTTCCTTCACTCTCCCCAGAGTCATTATTCACACTGGAGCTTCTCTTTGTTCAAACTTAGATTATTAAAAAGTTTATCTGCTGCGGATAAGATGATAACTCCTCGTGTTTGGTCAGCTTTGTCTGAAATTGATAAAATGAAACTTTGCTGAAATACGTTAAGGACCAAATTACCTAAGATCCCTCATAAAATAAAAAGTTGGTCACTGGCAAAATGGTCCCACATCCTCACTGGAGAGTCCTAAATATAACTAAATACATGACAACCAGGAATAACAAACCAGGTTTAGCAATGTATGAGTTTCTGTTGCGTAAAGTCCTGTGTTGTTACCGTCCTGTGTTGTGTTGTTACCGTCTGCTGTTGTGGCTTTCTGATGGGGCATCAGCATGGCAGCAAACTCCTGCAGCTGGTTCCCTCTGATGATGCGGTCCAGGTACATCTTCTCCAGGATGCCGTAAGCGGCCAGCTGCTGGCAGCGCTCGTCTTTGAAGAGAGTGGCCAACATACGGGAGCGCTGCTGACCTGCAACGGATCAAAAATAGAATGTTGGGAAGCACAAAAAAAAAAAAAAAAATGGCCAAAGTTAGCAAGTTTTCAAAATACCAGTATCAGTTCGATAAGTAAAACTGGCCGATATTAACAACCAATGATTATTCCCATCTTGTTGCCATCTGTGTTTGTGTTTCTCAAGGGGAAGGTGATGGGGTTGGTCATGTGGTATTTGCAGTGTACACTTCTACTAATATGCTAATGCATTAATAGCAAAGCTAATTTTTTTGCATAGCACTTTAGCTAACTTTGAAAACATCTAGCATACTTAACTTCCCCTAAATAAATTTTCCCAATAAATCCTAAAGCTATCTAGGCTGTTTTGTCAACTCTCAGTTTGAATAAAGCTTGACAATCTGCATTGAAGTTTTGGTTATTGAAACCTGTATTCATGCTCTTATTTTGAAGTCTGTTTACGCAGCAGTCCTGTCTTCTCACATTCTCTCTCTTGTTTCCCTCTAAGAAACTTTATTGACCATTTGTGGCGAGTACGGTACAAATGAACAAATGTTTATGTTTAGATTTTTGATTAACATTGGTCTATATTGATTATTGGCCAGCAATAGTAGTATGGAATATACTGACCAAAATGTTCATATTAATGCATCCCTAATATAATGACAAGTAAAGAAAGAGCTGATGAGATCATTTCTGAAAAATGTAAGTCAAGGTCAGACTTCCTATACCTGCGGAGGCCAGTATGGTGCAGTTCAGAGCGTGTTTCAGCGCCTCCAGTCGTTCACTTTCATGGACAATAGACTTATAAGACAACTCGTTGTATCTCTGCGCAGCTTCAATGAACTTCCTCCTGAAATCAAGGACTCTGGCGTAGCACACCTAACAAAGAGCAACAGCTTAAGTCGCAGCACAACAGAAGGACAGACTTCACCGTAGAGACTTTGCACCTCGGAGGAAGGCTTTGTTTTCGATAAAGAGATCGCGCACCTTATAGTGGATCTGCAGCTGTTCGTTCGACGACTCATTCTGAAGCAGCGAGGCTCTGTTGATGTAGGCCTCCGCCTGCACGGGGTCGTCGTCTTCTAAGTAGAGCCGAGCAATTTTTAGGTACGTGTCCAACTTATAGTCGACGTTATATTGCCTGTGTCGGGGGAGGAGGAGCGAAGAGGCATTCAAATACGTGAAACTTTTATGGAGATCTGAACGCTGATCTGTAAACAAACTACGTACTTTTGCCCGGTTTCCAGAGGAATGCCAACTAAAACTTGCGCGGCATTTCTCCAGTCTCCCTCCTTTTCATAAATAGTTGCTAAGTGCTGTCTGATTGAGGCCACCTGAAGACACAGGAGCATCATTTAAACATGTAGGATACAATCAGTTATGTTCTTTAACTTTACAAGGGCAAAATGTAACTTTTATAAGAAATACTTTTTTTTACATATTTGTTGAAACTGTCACTCCCCGTCAGCAGAGCTTGTCGTGAATGCTAAAGCTAGTTAGCATGGCCATCAATGAAGACGGGTAAACGGTTTTCCTTTAACAGTGAGATGTTTCTCAGCGTGTTCACAAGTTGATTAACAGCGTTAAGACACACCCTCTGGCTCTGATTTGTTGTTTTTGACCAGGCGGTGGAGAAGTTCAATCTTTTTACAGATTATCTGTCTCATTTTATACTGTCACGACATGGTGACAGTTTTAACAAACGTAAAAAACTTTTATTTATTTATTTTTAAAGTTACATACTGTAGTTTAAAAAAAAAATCTCCATGGTTGTTGTGGCAAAACATAAAGAAATCTACCTGTTCCTCAAAGGAGATGACCCTCGGCTGGATCTTTTCCAAGGTGAAGTGATACACCGCTTTAGCCGTGGCGTCCGGCAGGTTGGGCAAGTGCGTGCAGAAGTCGGTCAGCAGCTGTCTCGAGATGACAAGGCTGACGTTCTCGTTGACCACTGCAAAAAAATAAAAAATAAATTTGAAAAAAGCATAAAATTTCACAGTTGCTCGAAGAAGCAGACTCGTAGATGAGGCTGGCCACATGAGAACAATATCCGTAATGCATACTCGCTTCGACAAAGGCCTTCAAGGACTCCAGCTGCTCTGCATCCGTCAGCTGCATGGCTTTCTCCAAAATCTGTCGATATCTACAGAGAAATTTGACTGATTACACGCACTATTAAGGTTTCTTGTGGAAGTCTTCTTAAAAATGTGAAATAAATGTTTAATGATAAGGTAATGAGAAGAATCAAACAGTTCAGCAAGAAAACAGAGGATATACCAATCACCAGATCAGTGATTGAAATTGATCATTTCGGAAAATTCTTATTTTTTTCGTTCTGATCAACTCAACATCCACATGTCGTTGTAGTTTAAGTCATTCGCTCTTAGAATAGTAAAAGAATCGTTACAGACTATCTGCTTCTCTTGGTTACAGATAGGAGCAGGTGAAAATGAAGTTTAATATGCGCCTTGTTCAGTATTTGCCTGTCTTCATAACAACATACACTCACAGAGGATTTTATCCGCAATATTTGTGGACCATTTGACATTCTTCCTAAACACATTATGCATTGCAATGTGTCTGTGTGATATGAAAAATAGCCAAATTGTAACTCGTTTTATGTTTTTTTTCTATCTGCAAATTAAAAAGCCACGTTAGCTTCCATGCAAGTCAGCAAGCATCGCAAAAAATATATCAATAACCCAGAGTAACCTCTTGCTTGGTGAACACAAAATACTCTTAAATTGCGCTACACTGTCAGGCTGAAGCGTTCAGTCTAACGAATTGCTATGTGGCTAATATAACTAAGTGAATGATACTAGCATAGCTAAGTCTAACAAAGCTACATTGCTACTAGCTAACACGAATGCGGCGTTTCCGTTGTGAACTGATTTTTATTAGCAGCTTATGTTATTGTCCGCTGATAGCTACGTACTTGGCAGCAAGGTCCTTGTGAGATCCGGTTGAATTCATCAACTGTGCAAGCTCCTGTCTCACTTCGGCCGCCATTGTCGCTAAATGTGTTGCTAAAAAATGTCAACACCCGGTTTGCTAGCCTCTCTGCGCGTGTGCAGGCTGGAAGTGCGCGAGCTGCCTTCCTCCTGCGAGTCACGTGAGCGCGCACGCTGAAAGCTCTGACATAAATAGTACATTTGTCTTATGTATTGTTATCGTGTTAGAATCCCTGGAATAATTTGTACAAGTAAAAGCAGATATTTTAACACTTATTTAGCAAGGTGTATAATTGTTGACAAGCACAGAATCCACTAGAATAAACTTCATACAATAAATATATGGAAAGTGAAGTTTAGATAGATAAAAATATATATTTTTTGGTGTGTTTTCAATAAATTATCCTTTCCAGTAACAGTTTTATATTGCTTCTTTGATTAAAATAAACCATTTATACCAGGGGTGTCCAAAGTCGGTTCTCCAGGGTCGGCATCCTGCATGTTTTACTTCTCTCCCTGGTTTTACACACCTGCATTAAATTATGGCCCATCAGAAGGCCTAAGCAGAATACTGACTTGCAGAGGAGGTTGTTACAACCACTAGGGAGAGAACTAAAACATGCAGGATGCCGGCCCTCGAGGACCGACATTGGACACCCCTGATTTATACTGTTCAACAATCTGAGACAGTGGATAATATCAGCGCGACTTACCAAGAGAGACGGTACTTTCAAGTGCAGCTGTAATTTGTCCACATACAGGTATAATGTCCACTGTAAAAGTTTTTTTTCCCTCTAGTTGCAGTGTATGATGCTGTTTCTTGATAAGTCAATTAAAAACAAAGGGCAATGGAAGCCAAAAAAAAAAAAAAAGATCAGAACTAAAAGCCTCCCCACACCATAATTAAGTGGATTTGAAAGTTTGTCTTTAAAAGACAAAAAAAAAAAGAAGAAGAAGAAAAAAGCTAGGACTAAGTGAGGTGATCCAGCAAAGACCAAACACACAGCTTGATCAATACATCATCATAAATGTTTAGGAGTGTCCTTTTTGCTGCTGTTTTTATACTTTTACAGGTTTTAAAGTGTAAATTGTAATTATTTATAAAGAAAACTTGCTTAATATCACCACTGTTTAGAATTTATATATTTCTAAAATTTGTTTTAGATTTGTGACGACGTTAATTACATTTCTATAAGTAAAAACTGCGCTGTACCTTTAAACAAAGTGTCACGGTGACGTCGAACGTGGAGGGCGTGGCCGCTCTGTGAAATGTCAGGGAGGAATGGCGCTCGGCGCGGTATTTTGAACAATCGCATTTTCCTTTCCTCGGTTCACCTGGAAACGCTGCCCAGCGTTAAAATCTCGGGTAAGCACGGCTGTATATTGGCTCCCTCTACGCTTGACTGCAGCGTATCCCACCGGAAGCTGCAAAGTTAAAGATGTAAATAATGTTGAGGTATAATGTTGTGCTAGCTAGCTCGGGTTAGCCAGCTCAGCAACTTCGCTAGTACAGTCAGTTTGTCCTGCCCGCTGGGCTGGCTTCATGAAGCTGCTGTTACTGATCATAAAGATAGTCAGGAAGGCGCAGAATTTCCCTAGAAATTATCATGCACAGTATGATGAATGTTTAAACAATTTTGGGACAAAAGGAACACTTTTTTTTCAATGTAGGATATGCGGCCAGTATTTTCTGAACCGTCTGGTTAGTTAACTTAGTATAAAGTAAATGCTTCAGCTGGACAATGACAGGTTATGGTCGGTCGAGTGACGCGATTTTTGTTCTTTTAAGCGACTGACCTGTTAAAAAAAGATGTGTATATTATTACTGATGAGCACAAGTCATCAGACACACAGTGGAGCCTGTTGTATTGAAACACAGTTACAGCAGCTTGAACTGGAATTGTGCCGCACAATGTTGGCTTCTAAATGGATTTCTCAGGTGACAGGAGCAATTACTGAAAGCTAGCTTTGTTTACACTGTCATTGTGTAGAAAGAGTATACCGCTTCGTTGAGTACACATTTACGACAAGTTTCTTATTAATTTCCGGCCTTGTTTCTACGTGTTTTTTAACGACTTGTGTCTGTAAAAGTCGCAGTCGAATGGGGGAAGAATATGAAATGGATAGTGTTAGCCAGAGAGCTAACCGAGTTGATGACGAGGTAAAAATGGCGGATCTTTCGAAATCCAACCCCGGCCTGAAATAGTAACGCAACGAGCTTGACGCTTTCCCCCCAGTCTTTTACCCCAAGCGACATCACTTCTTGGGTTGTTTTTAATGCAGACTAATGCAGCCCGCGTTTGTTGGCTGTCCCTCCAGGCTCATGGGGACACTCCGAGCAGTGAGTGTGTCTGTGTGGAGTAAATATGGGGCGGACAGAGGAGGGGTTCATGTATGAGCGTTTCGCTGGATTAATGTGGAGCAGAGTGCGGCAAGACAAAGATACGCCGGAGATAAACGGCGCGGCCTAGCGGACCCACCGTCAGCTGTCAGCTTCTGTCAAAATCAGCTCGAGTCCAAATGTACCTCCAGCTCATCACTGCGTTCATTTAATCTCCCCTCCCTGGCAGCTAACATTACAGGTCAAGTTCTCAAAGCGGGCATTTTGGTCTCAACTCACTGCTAGCTTTGGCATGGCTAGCTTTATGTTTGTTTAACCCTCCATTGGTTAAAGGCTGTCTTGCATTGCTATCCTGTTAATGCATATTTGCATTACATGCAGCCAGTTGAATTAAACGACGTGTTCGGTAGTTGATAGTTGAAAGGTGAAACATTATCTTAATTTCATCTCCATTGTTTTTCTTTCAGTTACCATGGCAAAGCTAGGGAGGTAATTTGCGTCCAGGCACAAGGCAATTCAATTCAACGTGCTTTACAAACCCCCCAACCCCCCCCCCACAAACACAAAAAA